AACTAACTGGGAGTGGTATGGGCTTTAGAAATCTCAAACCTACCCCCGTGACACACCTCCTCCAACAAGGCCATACCTCCTAATCCTTCCCTCAAAAGTTCTACCAACTTGGAACCAAGCATTCAACTCTATGAGCCTATGGGGCCATTCTCATTCAAACCAGCACACAGCTGTTACCCCCATACCTAGCTTCAAGTCACACAGTGGTTTTCTGTGTCTACCTAATCTCACTCATGCAATGTCTCCAGATTCCTACATTTTGTTACCAACGACAAGATTCCACTTCCTAAAATAGTACTTCAATTACTGAATAGTATTCTTGCATATATAACCACACAAATTTTATCTATTCTCCTACTGATGGGTACTTGAAACTCAAATAGTTCAAAAGACAAAAATAATCACGGGGCTGGAGAAATGGCTAATCCTTTAAGAGAACCAACTGCTCTTCTAGAGGATTGGGGCTCAATTCCCAGAGAGTTGTGAGCTGCAACTCCAGTTCCAGAGGACCTGACTCTCTCTTCTGGCCTCCACAGGCATCAGACACACACATGGTATACAGACATACATTCCGGCAAAACACTCACATACATAAAATTAATAATAATCTAGCCAGAAACTGTATTAAAGACCAGAATAGATATTTCTCAAAAGAAGACATGCAAGTGGTCAAGAGGCCTGCCTGGAAAAAGAAAGTTCATCCTGAGGGAAATGATGCCACACCGAGATGGTGCCTCACCCTAGTCAGAATGGATACTTTTAAAAATTAAGAGATTGGGCTAGAGAGATGCTCAGCCTTTAAGAGCACTGTAAATTCAGGTGGTGGTGGCCCATACTTTTAATCCCAGCACTCAGGAGGCAGAGGCAGGTGATGAGTTTGAGGCCAGCCTGGTCTACAGAGTGAGTTCCAGGACATCGAGGGCTCCATAGAGAAACCCTGTGGAAAAAAAAGAAGGAATGAAGGAAGGGAGAAAAAGAAAGTTAGAGGAATGCTAGTCTGGATTTTCCATTGCTTAACAAATCATGTCCCCATATGTTAGACACATATGGCTTTAATTTTCCTCTCTGTCCTTCTGGCCCTATATACTCAGCCCATCTTGAGCTTTGTTTTACCTGAGATAAAGTTTCAATTCCTAGAAGCTGAACACTTAACCTCCTGAAGAGGCCAATATGGATTCCAAGATTTTGGTGCAATTATTACGTCTACCCCTGTGTCTACTAAACTTCCCATTTCAATGCCATTTGTTTGTATTTTTAACTTTGGTCTTTGATCATTTATATATTCTCTTTTTTGGGGGGGTGAGGGGGTGGTTTCAAGACAGGGTTTCTCTGTGACTTTGGAGGCTGTGCTGGAACTAGTTCTTGTAGACCAGGCTGGTCTCAAACTCACAGAGATCTGCCTGCCTCTGCCTCCTGAGTGCTGGTATTAAAGGTGTGCACCATTCTCCAAAAAGTATTTGCTTTATGGTTTCTCCTGAAAACTTTGTTTTATATTCTCAAGCTGTTCTGTCATCCAGAGCAGTATGGTTTCTCACAATAGGCATTAAGTCTTGTAATTGCTCTATGGAGGGTTTTCTCCAATGCTGACAGGGAATGACTGAATCAAATTTGGCCCAGAGGCCTGGGAGAGGCCCCCTAAGGCATTTCCAAATGGCAAAAGGTTACCTTGCCTGTCCCATGTTGATCTGCATTCATTAGTCCAATGTTGGCCTTTGACACACCTTCGCATAGTCCAGAAGAATACGGGCCCTTCTGTTTGGATTATCTCTAGGGAAAAAAAAAAAAAAAAACAAAACACTGTTCCTAGGAATGCTTTGCCTATAATCCTTTTTCAAATGACAATTAAAACATCTAACCTTTTGATTTTTCTTAAAATCTTTAGAAATCACTTCTCCTATCTAAGTATCATCGTGAACGCGAGATCTAGTATCAGCTGTATTTCTAATCCATTCATCTGTGTGTGCTGATCTCGCCTTTAAAGGACTGATCACCCTTTTGCCTTCTGAATTATCATTTCAAAAGTCAAAGATTCAATTAATATTCTTCTAACTTCTTGATCTGATATTGTTCTATTTATAGCTGAAGTTACTCTTTGTAAAAACAGAGAAGGCTTCTTTTGGGCCTTGTATAATTTTAGTAAATGGCTCAGTCATCTCCCCTGATTCTTTAGTCTTGTCCCAAACATTCAAAGCTGCTGTATGGCATAGGGCCAAGGTGTGATCATCATATATAGACTGTCTTTGTAAATCAGCATAATGGCCCTCACCAAGGATTTGATCTTGGGAAATCTTATAACCTCTAACCCTACCAAGTTGTTCAATGACCCTAATTTTGTCTTTCTACCATGTTTTTGCCATTGCAACTGAGATCAGCT